AGAAGCGATATTGTCATATGGAGAAGACATTTTCTAAGAACCATAAAGGAAATGAGAAACCAAAAAAGAAAAATATTTTATCTTGATGAAACATGGATCAACGAGGGTCATACACCAAATAAATTTTGGCAGGATGAAACTGTTACAAGTCAAAGGCACGCTTTTGTAAATAACTTATCTAGTGGTTTAAACCCACCATCAGGAAAGGGACGCAGGCTGATAATAGTACACATTGGCAGTTCAGACGGTTTTGTTGAAGGTGGTTTATTAACTTTTGAATCAACTCGTACCGGTGACTACCATGAAGACATGAACGCTGGTGTCTTCCAAGAATGGTTCGAACAAATGATAGATCTTCTTCCTAAGAACTGTGTAATAGTGGTGGATAATGCAAGTTATCACTCCAGACTTATAGAAGGACTGCCCACAACCAAGTGGTTAAAAAAAGACTTGCAGAATTGGCTGAGTTCAAAAAATATTACGTACCATCCCGGATCTATAAGAAAGGAACTTTATTCGTTGTGTGCCCTTCATAAAGAAAAATTTAAAAAATACGAAATTGATGAAATTGCTAAAAATCGTGAAATGACAGTACTTAGATCCCCACCATATCATTGTGAATTAAACCCGATTGAACTGGTATGGGCACAGATAAAGAGTGAAGTTTCAAGAAAAAATACCACTTTTAAAATTCATGATGTTAAACAGTTGTTTTTGGAGGCCGTAAATAATGTAAAACCTGAAAACTGGGAAAAGGCAGTAAATCACACTATTAAAGAAGAGGAAAAAATGTGGAATCTGGACAATATTACTGATAAAATGATCGAGCCAGTTATTATAAATCTTGGTTCTGAAAGTTCATCTTCTGAATCTGATTTGGATTTGTAACAAGTAGCTGTAAGTTTTATATTAATATTTTTATTCATCTATTTAACATACCTTAGACGGTTTTAAAAACTCTTTTTCTCTTTTGTAATTTTTAAAAATTAAAAAAAATGTGAATTTTTTAAAACCCTTGTTAATGTAGGCCAGTCAGTTCTAATATAGTGTGTGATAAAAGAGGTCGCTTTTGTTTACATACACATAACACTTTATAACACTGAAATAATTCATTTATTTTTTACAATTATTCAAAGTAATTTTTCAATTAATCTTGAGCACGCCCATGGAGTGGTCGAAGGTACCAGTTAAAATTATGCTAATTACTCTCTCGTTCATAAAAATAAACTATACTGTAAAACTCGCTAATAACCTTAATGGTTGATGCGGAAATTCTAAATAAAAAAAAATTATAATCACCAACTGCCAATAAGTAGTTCAAATTTCGTATATACATAATTAATTACTGTTATATTCTAGACGTAATAGACAATATTTTTTCATTATTGTACCAAAAAGCATATTTGGATGTACTCCAAATACATTTGAATTCACTCCAATATGTGGATACAAAACCAAATGCTACTTCATCATTTGTACGACTAACGTTTTATCATAATTCTTGCTACTCGTTTATTTTCGTTGGGTGCAGTTTTGATTTAATCATAGAAACTTTCTTTTTAATTACTTAGAATAAAGAACATAGTATTTTAAAGATTAGCAATGCTAAATAGCTGGTTAAAATGTTTTTATCTTTTGCAATATCTAATAGCGTCATCCAGCAGAACAAGTTTTCTTTATTGTATAAATATAAATTATTCATTTATTAACACGTCGCATACTTATAGCCTAACGATATGCTACTGCTAGGTGCTGAGAGTATTTTTTTTGTAAATCGTTATAACTGCAATTGGATTCTTGTTGGCAGAATACATTTATAAAGTATTTGCTAAATTTTGTCTTTTTTAACGCATGGCGCTCATAGGCGTCGCCAGCACTAGATCATTAATGTTTCATCCATATGCTAAGTGACTCACATGTGCGTCTTTGATTTTTAAATTGCAGAAAGTCATTATTGTCAAAAGAAACATTTACTGGAAATTTTAATAGAAAACGTATTACAATAATAATATTAATAATTACAAATTATTATCATTATGATACTGTACAAAACAATTTCCAACAGAAAGGCCAGGTTTTTCAGGACAGAAGCTGCACTCAAATATCGTGTCTTTTCTTAAATTATTCATTGAACATACCTTACATCTTTTTCTCTTTATCCGACCTTTAGTATCAACATTTCAAATTTTTTAAATGTTGTGCTTGTCTGTTGTTTGTTGTTGTTTGTACACTGGAAAAACCAATACTGTTTCAGAATTTTTTAAAAGATGTCTGATAATTTCTGATAATATAAAAATAGATAGTACTAAAAAAATTATTCACACAATTAGGCGTTGTCAGACTTTATGTTTTATGTATTTAAGATCTTCCAAACTACATAAAATCATAATTGTTTGAAGTATATGTTTGAACTCGTATTAAATAGGAGATTCCAATAATGACTGAATATACAGGGTGATGAATTTGAAAAACCAAAGTTACTAATAATATAAAAGAAACGGCAAATTTGGCAACATTGCAAATATTAAATATGGAATCTCCGTATCCCAAAATAGGCGTATCTTAAATTTTGTACAATTATAACTACCAATTTACGAGATAATTGGCCGTTTCCAGACTTTTGGAACACTCTGTATTTAAATGAATGTTATTTTATATAATTTTTAATTATAGTGTATTTTTATGTATGAGAGAGTAATAAATCAATAAATTATGTATGCAAATCCCTAAACTGTTGATACGGGTGATTCAATGAAAAACAGATATTTGTCAACAAGTTTACAGAAGTATATAGGAAAACAATTTTAAATTGAGTATGACCACCAGGTATAAAGGTTGGAGCAGAATAGAATACAATAGTTGTGAGGGTTACTAATCCCTAAATAAGGTTGCCAGTGTCGGAGTGATGGAGGTTAACAGGTACTAATGAATTTGCAAGAAATGTAAGATGTTTATTTTATTGGTTATATATAACCAATAAAAGTTTAATAAGTACCTACCTATTTGCAAAATAAAGTTTAATTCTTTAGATAAAATAAAACGTTTTATTTTATCTGAAATGAGTGCATTCCACGAAGTAAGGGTTTCAACAATCAAACATTTAATTCTTTAATTCCAAGAATCTACGACAGTAATTGACTAGATAATTACCTTCTAAACTTATTCCACAGAAAATGTGATAGTGGGTTTTTCCATTTTGTAGGAAGGTCCAAGTGGCGTATTCAAAATTCTTAACAGTTCACTAAAAGTAGGTACTTCAGTTGCAAGGTGCAGTTTATTGTGTATACTAGTGTTATGGAAAATTTGGAAGTGCCGTGTAAACGCCGAAAAATTGGTCCTTTAACTGTTAATGAAAAAACATTAATATTTAATTGTTTTAAATCATTTACAGACAAACGTTTATGTGAAAGTGTTGATGAGACCGTTGAGTTAGTTAGCAGTACACTTGGTGTTGGGAAATCTACGATTTACAGAGTTATTAAAGAAGAGAAATGTGGTAGTTTTCAAATGCCACATAATGCTCCAGGGAAACCAAAATTTCAAATAGAATATCATTTTAAAGAAGGACTTCGACGGAAAGTGCATGAATTCTTCTTTAGACAAGAATTTCCAACATTGGATAAAGTTCTTGTCTCAGTTCGAGATGATAAGGATTACCCAGAAATGAGTCGAAGTACGTTATGGAAACTTTTAAAAGAAATAGGCTTCCGCTGGAAAAAGAATCCCAGAAAGTCTATTTTATTAGGAAGAAGCGATATTGTCATATGGAGAAGACATTTTCTAAGAACCATAAAGAAAATGAGAAACCAAATAAGAAAAATATTTTATCTTGATGAAACATGGATCAACGAGGGTCATACACCAAAATAAATTTTGGCAGGATGAAACTGTTACAAGTCAAAGGCACGCTTTTGTAAATAACTTATCTACTGGTTTAAAACCACCATCAGGAAAGGGACGCAGGCTGATAATAGTACACATTGGCAGTTCAGACGGTTTTGTTGAAGGTGGTTTATTAACTTTTGAATCAACTCGTACCGGTGACTACCATGAAGACATGAACGCTGATGTCTTTCAAGAATGGTTCGAACAAATGATAGATCTTCTTCCTAAGAACTGTGTAATAGTAATGGATAATGCAAGTTATCACTCCAGACTTATAGAAGGACTGCCCACAACCAAGTGGTTAAAAAACACTTGCAGAATTGGCTGAGTTTAAAAAATATTACGTACCATCCCGGATCTATAAGAAAGAAACTTTATTCGTTGTGTGCCCTTCATAAAGAAAAATTTAAAAAATACGAAATTGATGAAATTGCCAAAAATCGTGGAATGACAGTACTTAGATCCCCACCATATCATTGTGAATTAAACCCGATTGAACTGGTATGGGCACAGATAAAGAGTGAAGTTTCAAGAAAAAATACCACTTTTAAAATTCATGATGTTAAACAGTTGTTTTTGAAGGCCGTAAATAATGTAAAACCTGAAAACTGGGAAAAGGCAGTAAATCACACTATTAAAAAAGAGGAAAAAATGTGGAAGCTGGACAATATTACTGATAAAATGATCGACCCAGTTATTATAAATCTTGGTTCTGAAAGTTCATCTTCTGAATCTGATTTGGATTTGTAACAAGTAGCTGTACGTTTTATATAAATATTTTTATTCATCTATTTAACATACCTTAGACGCTTTTTCTCTTTTGTAATTTTTAAAAATTAAAAAAAATGTGAATTTTTTAAAACCCTTTTTAATGTAGGCCAGTCAGTTCTAATATAGTGTGTGATAAAAGAGGTCACTTTTGTTTACATACACATAACACTTTATAACACTGAAATAATTCATTTATTTTTTACAATTATTTAAAGTAATTTTTCAATTAATCTTGAGCACGCCCATGGAGTGGTCGGAGGTACCAGTTAAAATTATGCTAATTACTCTCTCGTTCATAAAAATAAACTATAATGTTGCTTATTTTAAATAGACCTTTGTTTCAGGGTAACAAAGGTGCGGTGTCGATTAGACTAAGTATTTATGGCTGTTCACTTTGTTTTGTAAATGCTCATCTTAGTGCTCACGATAACCACTTAGATGATCGAGTAGAAGATTACAACAGTATTATTCATGATCAAGAATTCCATGTACCTGAAACTACAAAAATATTTTACCATGAGTAAGTACTTTTTTCCTAATATAGATTATTAAACGTTTCGATTTTTAGTTATATTTCTACAACATAAATTTAGAGGTAGGGCACTATTTTTAATGAGATTATATAACAATTTTAATTAGATGTACTTTAAATTAGACATTTCGATTTCCACATTATTATTCTAATTAAAAATTATAATATTCTAATAAAAAATCGATTTAGAAACTGCATCAAATCAGTTAAAACTTATCCAGGTTCTGACATTGGATCCGATCACAATCCCATAGTAGCTGTAACACAATTAAAATTAAAAAAGGTGATCAAAAAGAAGTCTTGCAAACATATGGATACAGCCCAATCACAAGACGAGAAAGTTAAGGAATCAGTTCAAAGACAACTGAACGACAATTTAATTTGGGAAAATATTGGTGAAAACGTCGATGAGGGCTTAAATAAAATCGTACCAACAGTAAAAGAAATCTGTGTGAGAAATTTAAAAGGCATACTTTACAACAGCATACAAAAAGAGATTCGAGGTAAAATATGAGAAGCAAACAGTCAACATCTAGCCAAACAATGTCATGACATTGAAGAACTTGAAAAAAAACAGCACGTTTAACTTCTTCTTTATGTCTTCTACCGAAGGTTGGCGACCATCATACGATAGGTTTTTTTGTTTTGTGCCGCATGAATTATGTTCGCAGCTTCTGGTATTTGAAACCATTCTCACAAGTTTTTCAGCCAGGATTTCTTCCTTCTGCCCAAACCTCTTCTACCTTCAATCTTGCCTTCCACGATAAGCTGTAGCAGACTGTACTTATCATTTAGCACGTTTAACATGTATAAAAAAGTGAAATAAGCGGCTGGTATCTTCAATAAGAAACAAACTGCATTGCTACAGGATGAAAATGGTAAAGTACTATTTGAAGTAAAGGACAAACTTAAAAAATGGGAAAACTACGTCACGAACCTATTCGAAGACGATAGGAGTAATTCATCTCCAGATATTACTAACTGCGACGGACCCCTAATAACACGCTCTGATGTGATAAAAGCCATACAATCATCAAAAGATGACAGAGCGACTGGTCCTGATGAAATTCCAACTGAAATATACAAGCTTATAAATGATAGCAATGTTTTAGAGGCTATAACTTCGTTTTTCAATACCATTTATACCAGCGGACAACTACCTAATGGTTGGTCTAATTCACTGTTTGTAGCTCTACCTAAGAAGAAAACAGCAAAAACCTGTGCTGATTATAGAACCATCAGGTTGTTAAACTACTTATTGAAAATTTCTCTTAAGGTAATACATGGTCGTATCTACAATAAATGCGAGGATTACCTGGATGACACTCACTTTGCTTTCCGTAACTGGTTTGGAACGAGAGAGGCACTGTTTGGGATGAACGTACTTGCTCAAAGATGTCGTGATATATCTGTAGACATATACTGTTGTTTTATTGACTTCCAAAAGGCGTTTGATCGTGTTCACACTCTATATGGGTCGAAGCTCTAAAAGACATTGGCTTGGACGGCAGAGACGTTCGAATAATTGCAAATTTATATTAGAATCAAACAACATTAGTTTTAGTAGATGGTGTGGAATCACAGGCTCTCAATATTACTTTTACTTTTTCGAGTCTGGATCCGACTACAGTTTTTCTGCCCAATATCGGGCTACGTCTACAGCCTTTGTATTTGCGAGCCATAAATCATCGAGGGTGCACTGTGATAGGCAAAGTCTGCATACTCTCAGGTGCTCCACGTTCTGTATTTCCCCACATTCACAGAGTGCCTCGCTATTTGTCTTGATGCCCCATTTAATGAGCTTCTGTTTTACAGGGGCAACACCTGTGCGCATGCGGTTGAGTGTCCGCCAGGTTCTCCAGTCCAGGTTCATTCCATTAGGTCGTTCTGGATGTAGGGGGAACACTTCGGGTGGTTCGACGCTGACATTTCTCATAAACCTTTTCCTTGATTTAAGTCGGCTGACGAAAGAAACCAACAGCACACACACAAGTCGGCTGATTCCTGGCGGTCCGTCAAACCCGTATAATTGGTGCCGTTCATCGAAAGTTTGCCTGAACTTCTCCACATATTGTGAGGCACATCTACGGTCGTCTGGTGATGCGAATCCAGCTACCCGGTACAGTAGGTGTAGAGGGGTAGGCTTCATACAACAGGTAATGATTCTACATGTTTCATTTAACGCCGTGGTGAGTTGTTGGGCGTGTCTAGATCTACCCCAGACGGGACAAGCACATTCCCCTGTTGAGAAACATAAGGCCTCAGCTGTTGACTTCAAGACCTGGGGGTTTGCACCCCACTTGTTCCCTACAAGTTTCCGGAGAAGGTGGTTTCTCGTAGAGACCTTTTGTCTTGTGCTCTGACAGTGAAATTTATACGTTAGTGACCGGTCTAGTATCACTTCAAGATATTTGGGCCTATCAGTATGTTTCAAGCGTTGTCCCTCTCAAGAAACATTCAGTTTTACATGCGCCAGTTGGTTGTTAAGATGGAATGCACATACTTGGGTTTTAGTAGGGTTTGGCTTTAATGAGTTTTGTTTGTAGTAAGTTGACATCATGTTTAAAGCATCTTCCATTGTCGACTCTACTTGTGTGAGTGTTTTCCCCTTTATGGCTATACTATCTCAATATATATATATATATCTCAATATTAAAAGAGGAGTACCTCTTGTCACCCCTGCTTTTTAACGTTTACTCCGAAAGAATTTTCAGAAAAGTACTTTCTGAAAAACAAGAAGGAATACTTGTGAACGGCGAAGTCATCAATAATTTGCGATATGCGGAAGATACAGTACTTCTACTTTCTAGTCAAGAAGATCTGCAAACACTACTTGATAGTGTCGTTGAGAGTTGTAGGGAGGCAGGTCTGGATCTTAACATACGGAAATCCAAAATACTCGTAATAAGTAAACAACAGCATATAAAACCATCTATATATGTAAATAATACCAAACTTGAGCAAGTTGATAAAATCGTTTACCTTGGACAGCAACTAAATTTTAACGCAGAAAATCACGGCGAAATTAGATCTAGGATAAAGCAGGCTAGAGCTGCTTTTAGAAGGATGTCCAAGGTGTTATTAAGCTGAAAACAATTGAAAATTTCTCATTTTTTTGCACCTATTTTCGTTTATAATTCGGAACATATTGATCCTAGAGAAAAAAATATGACAAGTTAAAAGTTTCGTTATTCAATTTTACACAATATTTCGTTAGCTAGAAATTGAAAATTTAATGTTTATTGTTGAAAAAATAGCAATAATTGGAAAAAAAGTACAAAAAAATAAAGTTAATCCTTTAAATGTTTTCGAATTCCTAAACTTGACTTTTTTTATATTGTAAAACTTTTTAATATGTTTAAAACGTGTGCTAAATTTTGTTAAGATCGATCGAATAGGTTTTGCATAATAATTTTGCAATCCAGCCTACTGGAAAAAAATTTCAAATTTTCAAATTTATAGTAGGCCCTAAATAAGGTTCTCAGATAGTTGCAATGTTTTTTCATAAAAAGGAAGGCTCAAACTTTCAAACGCTTTTTGTAAAATTCAAGTGTTAGACTATAAGCTTGAACAACATGGCCATCAAGTACTTCGCTTGCCTTCTTATCATCCAGAGTTAAACCCTATTGAAAAAATATGGGCTTTGGTAAAAGGTAGAGTGGCCACTCATGATACAACATTTAATATAAATGATGTTGAAAATATAACAAGAGCAAAATTTTCAGAAGTGTTGATAGAAGAGTGGGCTAACATAATAATATGTAAACACGTAAAAAAATATGAAAACATTCAAATCGCAAGAGAACATTTATTAGACTCTACGCTGGACCACTTAAAATTTTTTATTAATACTGGTTCATCCGAAGAAAGCTTTTCTGATGATGAAGATAGTAATTAAAATTTCGGAATAGACGTGTTTTTGTGTGATATTTCTTTGTCATATAACAAAATATAGAAGTCTTTAAAATCCATATTTTTTTATAAAATATATACATTATTTAATTTGTTAAAATAAATTACTTATTTTTTTTGAGTTGTTGAAACCCTTTCTTCCTTCCTGGCAATGTTAATAAATTGTAAGTATTGAATATTTGTTATTTATTAAAGTACTCCTAATAGTTTACTCATTGTTTTATTGAATGCCTGACTACAAACTTCATAAATATTAAAAACTATAAAAATAAAAATTGACAAATTCATTCTCACTTTAATTGAATATACTTATAAAAATTTATTTTAAAGCTATCGGTTTCCGTCCGCCACTGGTAGAAACGGTCCGCCCTTCTTCGCGAAACACGACGTCACATTCCCAAACTTAAGTTTGTCGGAGTCTAAAACACATTCCCAAACACTCATAAAGTATACTTTATGCCCGCGCGGCATAATGTACACTATTACGTAGTTGGTAACTAAGCAATAAAAACACAATAATAAACTAGTATGACATAAAATAAATTTTATCTAAAAACGAAAAATAGGTACGCCAAAAACTGAGTTTCCGGTTAATTATTTACTCCAGTGTAATTACGTGTATTCACATTACTATAATAATTAAAATGGTTTTGCTAGTTTCATTGTTTAAAAATCTATTGAAAGGAAGTGCGCAACATTAAAATATGTTAATGTTTTATTGTTATTATTGTTATCGTTTTTTTGGTAAACAAATATCAAGGCAGAAATAAGTTTAAAATAAGTAATTTTAAAAGTATAATTTAATTTTGTAAATCGCTTCGCCTATTCTATATATTCTTTACATTATATATATATATATATATATATATATATATATATATATATATATATATATATATATATATATATATATATATGTTCGGATAGATTTCCGCGGTCAGAGGTCAGATGAATGAATATTACTAGGTTTTCGGGAAGAACCGCGTTGAGAATTTAATGCTCGACGTTTCGGCTCCCGTTTTGGAGCCATTATCAAAATTGAGACTCCGAACTCGAACCGAACCGTATCCCTCTTGATAATGGCTCCAAAATGGGAGCCGAAACGTCGAGCATTAAATTCTCAACGCGGTTCTTCCCGAGAACCTAGTGATTTTCATATATATATATATATATATATATATATATATATATATATATATATATATATATATATATATATATATATATATATATATATATATATATATATATGTTAATGTGGTATTCAAAGTCTGAGGTGCGCCAAGCAATTAATTAGCCAAGGGTTATACTCGTGATTCAATATCTATGCTTTACATATAGTAGGTAAGGTCCAAAGAATACCGGAATAATAAAAAACATATATGATACAAAATTATATATTGAAAGAAAAGTAAATTGAAATAAAATTCACATTCAAATATCTTCAATAAAAATATCTCATAATGATTATCAAAATTTTGTTCTACGTACGTGAACCTTCAAAAATTAATGGTACATACAATATAAATTAAAATTTCAAATCAAAATTGTTGTTATATATCTCCTGATCAAAATATTCCTATCTTTTCTAAAGCAATTGTAAAAATTGTGTTGTTAATAAAGAAAAACTGATGAATAGTAAAACTATCTCTCTGATGATGAGTTGTCTAAATCCTTGTTCCTTGTAGCCTACACTATCTATTCTTAGCAGTCCTCTAGGTAATCAGCAATCTTACAACAAATTGTTGCGAGCCTATCGTCTTTAATGATCTCCTTCAAATGAACGTATCGGTTAAATTATGCTCGCCTCTTCTCCTTTCGATAAACTGAATCTCTCGTTCTGGCCTGAATAGTGACTCTTGGAATATGAGTAGAAAAATATAACTTACAATATTTTACTGGATCAGCTTCTGTCAGATACACTAACTCCACGAAAAACTCACAAACATTCACTTCTACTGCTTCCTACCTCTAGGGAACCTCTGTCATACCTCATCCATCTCATCTCTAACCACTTTATAGGATCACCATCCTTCGTTTTTTTTTTCTGTTGACTATTATGTTTTTAAGTTTTTTGGTAGATAAAATTTCTGGTGTTGTTATTTTGATGACCACGAAAGGCTTCTTAATCTTAACAGTCTTGGGTACATGCATCCAATCTTCAGGTGTAAATATCTGAATACACTTTCGGGATGCTGATTCTATCACTCCAAAATCTTGGTCATTAGGTAAAAACCAATGACCAGAAACCAAAAATTGATGATCGACTGTTTCAATGCTTAACTGAGGATCAAGGACCAAGTTTATTAAGGTAGAAGCAACTTTAATATTTCTGTTTTGATCAGTGCAAGAGTCAGAGCAGAGAATAACATGTTTGTGGTTTTTAGCCTCTTGTCTAATATGTTTAGCCAGCATAGATGCTACTTTTTGAGATCCCCTTCCTCTTTCTGTTTCGTCCCAGAAATGCATGTACCCATTATTATTATTAAAAGAATGGATTCCAAAATTGTAAACGTGCATATTTCTTTTATAGTATGCTAGGGAAGTAGTCAATTTGGGATATGGGAGAGCCTTTTGTAGATCAAATTTTGCAACATAGCATGTGTCTGATGCAGCAGCTTTGTCATTTTTAAAAGAATCCCTAGCTTGCAAAGCTTCAGCCAAGTGCAATTTCTTTTCGAATTCAAATGTACCACGTTCTGGGTCATTTTTCTCACCTAGGGTGGGTCTGCGACTAGTGTCACCTGGTTTGGACTGGAGTTGTCTAAAAAGAAAGTAAATAAATTACTAAAAACATTTATTTTTTATTTTATATTTTTGATATAAAAAATTATTAGGTTTTCCTAGACTAAATTTTAAAACGATGGCAAAAACAAATCCTAGTAATGATAATTTTGCTGAATTGTTTGTAAAACACGAATTAGAACTTTCGCCTTATTTACAACATAAGCAAATCGTTTCACAAGAAGTTATGTTATAGTACTTATATTTTATATTATTCTAATACATATAATTTACCTTCAGATTCTGAAGTTGATGATTCGTCTTCTGAAAGCATATATTTTGAGGATGAATCAGAAAAGTCAACAATTTCATTGAGATCCATTGTTTTCAAGTCATAACAACTACAAATACATAAACAAAAACTACGTGTAACGGTTTTGGACTTGATTAACTTTAGCACAGAAATTTTATAAAACTTTGTCAGAACCAAAGGAGACTGCTGCCATCTGTTAGGAAATAGCAATATCAGGGACTTGCTTCACTGTGGTCCCGAAAAGATACACTATTAACAAATAGTAATATGCATCAACCGGACTTTTCGTAAATCTTGGACTTGATCCACTTTGGCTCTGAACGCCTCATATAACCGTTGCCTACTATTACCGGTTAGCTAATAAAATAGCACACCAACGCAAATACCCAAGGACAATATCACCCACTGCACGAATACTTAGCTGAAGTTAGACTAGTTTACCATAGATTAAATATATATAAGTAGATATAGATAGGCAACTCTTTAATACAAAAAATTGCAATGTATACAGCGCCCTCTGCCTGGTTTAGTCATGAACTAAATGTGTAATGACGCGGCGGGAATTTTAAACGTTCGAATAAGCTTTGTTGCTAATTATTGTAGTAAAACAAGATTCTACAACATAATGCAAATTATAAAAAATAATCGACAATTGGTTTTTACATTAACATTAACGATTATTTTTTGTAATTTGCATTACATTGTGGAATCTTTTATTGCAATTATGAACAGACTGCACATAACAGGAAAGGAAAGGAAGAAAAACAAAATTCAAAAATTAAAATATTTATTTAAAAAATTAACAACACAATTTACAAGTAACAAAATTATTTTAAGAACGTAAACATACTTACTTGGTGGTAAAAATAAAGATGGAATAGCATCTTTTTTAATAGTGGATTTATTTATTAGTCCAATGTATTGTGCATCTGGCCCAAAATGGACATTACATACACGGTATGATTTTCGTACCTTCTCCATTGGCATTTCTTGTAAATTGGGATGGCCAATCCTTTTATTCCAAACATTATACAGCTACAAAAAACACAATAATTAGTGTCTAATAGATATAGTATAAAAAAAATATTTAAAGCCCATAACAATAATAGCAATGTAAATCATATTATCTATTACTTCTTTCCTTTTTTTGTTGTATCATCTGTAAATACTTCAATTTCTGGATATTTTTACATTTGTTCTAACACAAGCAAGGTTAAAACATTTTAAGGTTAGATATACATACTTACGAATATCTTGGTCGTTAATCGTTATTAAAATATTAATGGCAAATCAAAATAAAAGCTATTTTTCATTTTAATATTAAAATAAATATTAATTATCACTTACCTCTTGATTTTTCGAAAAAATATGCATTTGAGCATCTTTTTGGTAATTTTTGCAGCCGGGTACACAGCATTTAAACTCCATTTTAAAGCTCTATTAAAAAATTTTCAGATAAACTGAATTTTTACTTTAAAGTAAAAGTCTTTGCTATAAAGCCAAACAGTGAGTAAAAAAACACAATCAAATAATATAAATCCAAAGACGTAAACAAACACCGTGTCATAGACAAAATAAAATGGCGTTGTGTTCAGTGTTGTTGTTGTTGGGATTTTGCAGATGCGATGACATGCGCATTTGAAGAAAGTTTTTGGTGGCGCCACCTTTCTAGTTTAGTCCAGAAGTAAAGAGAATGAACCGTCATTGCCATTAAAGATAACATGCCATGTAGTTTACCTTACAGTTGATCTCTGTGGAATAAAACTATGCGTAACGCACATATTTTATTTTTTTAGTTACGTATTTTGGATGGGAGACCTTAATTTCCGACTTAAGGAAGAATTCGACAAGACTCCAGAAGAAATTGAAAGATTAGTAGTGAAAAAAGAAATTAAAGCTTTGTTCGAACATGACCAATTGCGGTACGTGATGAGAAAGGGTGAAGCATTCAGCGAATTGACAGAGCAGGATCCAACGTTTCCTCCTACGTTTAAGTTTACTGTAGGAACTCCTTGCTATGACTACAAGTAAGTTTTAGTTATTAAAATGTAATTTCAGGATTAAAAAATATATAAAAATAATCTAAAACAAAAAATATACAGTTATATACTAAGTGTGTTTAAAGAACCAGTAGTTGTTTTTACTAACTTTTAAGATACTTGGTGATATTAAAATTACCAGTACAGTAAAACCTCGATATAATGGACCTCTATTTAATGGACTTCGGATATAATTGACAAAAAATCCGGTCAAAAAAAAAACGTACTGTTAATATTATACATACTTAACCCGTCCCATACCAGTATATTTTATAAAGAATTTTATTAAAATGTAACATAATATTTCTATAATAGTAATATGTATCTATTTTTGAAAGCACACAAGCTTCCAAATATGAAAAGTCTCGTTCTGGAAGAAAAAATCATTGCTTGGTGCTAGCGCCAATATATCGCATAGATTGACTCCTGTCATCATCATCATCAACTAGCCTCTAACGTCCACTGCTGAACATAGGCCTCTCGCATGCTCTTCCACTTAGTCCGATTTTGCGCCATCTGAATCCAATTTGCAGTCACTCTTTTTATGTCATCTGTCCATCTCGTTGGGGGTCGACCTCTATTTCTGTATGCTTGTATTCGGGGTCTCCATTCCAAAATTCTTTTTGTCCACCGGTCATCAACTGATCTTGCTACATGACCTGCCCAGTTCCACCTTAGTGTTGTTATCCTTTCAATAACGTCTGCTACTCCTGATCTTTTGCGTATAGTAGCATTGGGTATTCTATCACGTAGAGAAATCCCTAACATAATTCTCTCCATTGCTCTTTCCGCAACTTGTAGTTTACTCACTGTTGTTCTTGTGAGCGTTAGGGTTTCTGCGCCGTAGGTCATCACTGGCAAAATACATTGATTAAATACTTTTCTTTTCAGACACATTGGAATCTTAGACCTAAAAATATCCTTCATCCTTCCAAATGCAGCCCAAGCGAGGTTTATTCTTCTTTTCAGCTCGATTGTTTGGTTGTCTCGACTCATTCTGATCTCATGGCCTAAGTATTTATAGGAGTCAACTGGCTCAATATCTTTGTCTTCTACTGAGATGTTTTTGTTGTGGACTAAATTTGTCATAAATTGTGTTTTTGAAAAATTTATTTTAAGACCAACTCTTTTTGTGGCAGTATGGAGTTCTTGGAGCATTATCTGTGCCTGATCAAAGCTGTCTGCAATAAGAACGATATCATCTGCAAATTTAAGGTTATTTAAAAATTTTCCATCTACATTGATGCCCTTTTCGTTCCAATCTATTGTTTTACAAGCGTATTCTAGCAAAGTTGTAAATAATTTAGGAGACATGTTGTCTCCTTGCCGAACGCCTCTTTCAATACGAAAAGTCCCAGTATCTTCATTAAGTCTTACACAGGCTGTAGCATGTTGACAGATGTATCTGATGAGAGATATGTATCGGTGATCTATTCTACATTGTGTTAGAGCTTGGAGCATTTCACTTTGATTGACCGTATCAAATGCTTTTTCAAAGTCGACAAAGATAAGTATCAGGGGTCTATTATATTCAATGGTTTTTTCAATCAACGACTTAATGGTTTGCAAATGATCATTTGTTCCGTATCCAGCTCTAAATCCTGCTTGCTCGCAAGGTTGATAGAAGTCTAGTTTTGATGTCAACCTATTAGTTATTATCTTCATAAACAACTTATAAACGTGAGATAACAAGCTAATAGGTCTATAGTTCTTTAGCTCTGTTATATCTCCCTTTTTGTGCATGACTACTATAACAGCTTTATTCCACTGAGATGGTGTAACCTCGTTTGAAAGGCATAAGTTATATAATTGCGTCAATGCTTTCAATACTGTCTTTCCTCCTGCTTTAACTGCCTCAATAACGATTTGATCATCACCAGCTGCTTTATTGTTTTTCATTCTATTTAATGACTTTAAGACTTCTTCGGTTGTTATTTCTGGGATATCCTCTGAACCCACATTCTGGACTTTTCTCAACTTGGTGCCGTCTTTCTTCCCCCTTTCTCTATATAATTCTGTGTAAAATTCTTCAACTACCTTAATTATCTTATCTTTATCTGTTACCACTTTTCCATTTCGATCTGCGAGCTTAACAATGTTCTTCTTACCTAGAGCTTGACATCTCTTCAGCACCTTTAAACTTTTATTTTTCTCGACAACCGTTGTAATCTTTTTTGTGTTATATTGTCGTACGTCCTTTCTCACTGCTTTATTAATATCTTTATTAAGTTGTTGTAGTACGCGTGCATTCGTATCGTTTTTGTTCTTAAGTTCTCTTCGTGCCTCCATATGACTCCTGTAATGGTTGGCAAATCTCATAAACCTAGAGTTTTAAGAGATATAATGCATCATCCGCCTGTTTCATATTATAGCTCTAAGAAGGCATGGTTCACCCCAGATATTTTCAAAAATTTTTTTTTAAGAATTTGTACTTACAGTGAGAAAATTTCAAGAGAAAAAATTAGGAATACTGCCAGAAGAGGTGAAATGTTTATTGCTTTTAGACAACGCTCCTGCTCACCACTCTGAAAATATTCTACGCTCGGAAGATGACAACTTTAGCTGTATGTTTTTGCCAAAAAATGCAACATCGCTTATTCAACCCATGGATCAGGAAATAATTTTGGCAACCAAATGAATATATCCCACGCACTAGATACTGGCTTCATTGTAAATAAAAAGGTTAAATACCTTGTAAGAGACTTTCGTGCTATGAACTCTAGAATGCGCATCCTGAGACTAAGGGGAACATTTTTTAATTATAGCATCTTAAATGTGCATGCCCCTACAGATTAAAAGGAAGACGATGTCAAGGAAAAATTCTATGAAGAACTAGAAGCTGCATACCATTCATGCCCAAAGAATGATATCAAAATTATTTATGGTGATCTCAACGCAAAAATAGGAAAAAAGCAATACCTACCAACTATCGGTAAGCACAGCCTTCATAAGGTATTAAACGACAATGGTATGAGACTAATAAATCTAGCAACTTCTCTTAACATAGTCATTGCCAGCACATGCGTCCAGCGAAAAAATATTCATAAAAGAACGTGGAGATCTCCAGATGTGGTCACAGTAAACATGATCGATCATGTTATTATTTACTCTAGACATCACTCAGATGTAATAAACGTATGCAGCAGCAAATGCAGACTCAGATCACTACCTAGTGGAAAGTAGAATAAGAGTCAGAATCTCAAACATTAAAAAAGAAAAGAGATCCAAAATTGAAAAATATGAAATAGAAAACTTAGCAGACAACAGCAAAAATGCAAAATACAAGGAATATATAAAAGGAAGACTAGAAAATAGACACAAGCACGAGGATATAAACAGAGAATGGGAAGCGTGTAAAAACATCATACAAAACGCGGCCAAATACAACAACGACATAGAACACGAAAGGCAGAAGAGGAATATATAGTGCTAAGAAAGGAAGAGAAGAAAATACATCGCAGAAAGAAAAGAGAACACATAGAAATAGAACTCCAAGAAATGGAAGAACTAAATAAACCATCAGAAAACAGATAATTCTACCAAAAACTTAACGAAAGTAGAAAAGAATTTAAACCAAGAACAATGCTGTGTAGGGACAGAGAAGGAGATATAGTAACTCAACAGAGTGAAATACTACAAAGATGGACAGCATTCTTCAAAGAAAAGTTTGAAAAAAACGAAGATCCATTATATGATGGAATTATACTGGATCAAACAGATACCAGAGAAACAACCCCCCCTTCAGTAGCTGAAATGCAAGAAGTAGTTACCAGACGGAAAAACAACAAGTCACCTGGATTAGACAATATTAGCGCAGAATTAATAAAGGAAGGTGGAGATTCCCTATTGAATGCGATACACGAACTAATAATGAACATATGGAATAATGAACAACTGCCACAAGACTGGAATACCGGAGTAATTATCCCACTACATAAAAAGGGAGATCAGCTTCAATGCAAAAACTACCGGGCAATAACGCTACTGACTGTGGCATATAAAATACTGTCAAATATTGTGTATGACCGATTGAGACCATATGCGGAACAAATAGTTGGGGGATATCAATGTAGTTTCCGCAGGCAGAAGTCCACATTAGATCAGATCTTTGTCTTGAGGCAAATCTTGGAAAAGACTAGTGAATTTAATATAGACACACATCATCTTTTTATTTACTTTGAGAGTGCCTATGATCCATCGAGAGTTTCTGATCCATGCACTGAAAGAGTTTAATATACCAAGTCAACTCATTGATATAGTAAAAGAAACACTTAAAGTACAAAGCAAAATTCCAATTCAAAACGAACTAACAGATACAATCCATGTGAGAACGGACCTACGACAGGGAGATGCCCTATCCTGTATTCTATTCAACATCACATTAAAGAAAATAATTACTTACTTACTTACTCCGTGGCGTTACAACCCTTCGTGGGTTTTAGCCGACTCGACAACATGCCTCCACTGTTTTCTATCTTGAGCAACCTCCATCCAATTCTCCACGCCCATAGTGCTTAGGTCTCCTGCTATATTATCTCGCCACCGAAGACGAGGGCGTCCGCGTGGTCTCCTTCTAGTTGGGACTTCCTCCCACACCAGTCTTACTGTTCGTTCATCAGAATGTCTTCTGAGGTGTCCTGCCCATTGGAGTCTTCTGGACTTTATTTCTTTTATGATGTTGGTGTCTGGGTAAAGTTCTTCAAGCTTTTTATTAGTTCTTATCCTATATTGTCCTGATGCTTCATCAAGCACCGGACCAAAGATCTTCCTTAGGATTTTTCTTTCCCAAACACGTAGTCTCTCTTCATTTGCCTTTGTCATCGTCCACGTTTCGCTTCCATACATCACAACGGGTCGTATGATTGTTTTATAGACCTGTATCTTCGTACCTCGTGTTAGTTGTTTTGATTTTATAAGGTTTTGGAGGGCAAAAATACATCTGTTGCCGGCCTGAATCCTGTTGTTTATTTCTTGTGATCCGTTATTGT